TTGAGATTCGCGTCTGGATCATCAAATAGGACAATGTATTCGATATATGATTTATCTTCGATATATGATTCCTCCGTCTGGTGAGAGAATAATCCTTCTCCAGACACCCATTTCGCGATAAGTCTTAAGTACCAACAATAACAGCACGTTTGCCAGATACGTCACAGTCGCACCAAGGGATTTCACCTAACAGCCGAAGGGATATTATTGTTATTGCTGCGGCGCGGACGCATAAAATCCCAAATTTCGCGGTGGAGACGAGCACGATCGCGGGGTTCAAAGTTGGTTTAATCTCCGCTGATAATTAAGCACCAACGATAACAAACCTTCTGACCAAAGTTTCGGATCGCGGATCTCAAAATATTGGAAAAATATGGAAATTTTTCATGTGTCTAATACATTCCAAATCTTTCATTTACAAATTATTAATGATTGTAATCATTCATTTTATCTATCTATCTAAACATTGTTAATATCTAATGTATGTACATACTAAAAATGAAAAAAATTATAACTCGATATACTTACCTATATATTTTATACAAGAAAGCTGGAACATTTCATAGATATTCTATAAATCTCGTAAATAACCCAAGAACAGAGAAAAGAGAGAAAGTTAAAATAATAGATTAAACTTGCACGAGTTATAATTTCACGATAATTACGCTGATATAGTTCGCACGTCGTTGTCTCTTCAACGAACATGCTTTCATAAAGGATTTCGCGATGTTTTAATTACTTTTCACCACTTTTTCTTGAAAATGATAACATGATTTCTGACAATTGTTTCTAAATTACTTTTGCGTATGTTTACGGATTCATCTCGCTGTAGGTATTTGCTGTTTTAATTTTCTTAGTAAATACCGTACATCGCGTGAAGAGAACGTTATTTGATGTAAAATATACTGAAGCAAAAGATTTAAAAGAAAAGCACAGAAAGAGAAAAAGCGTAGTGGACGGCGCAGAAAGGTCGGAATAGAAAAGCATGAAAGTGGGCCGCGAGAACCATATCCGTGCCGAGACCCGCGCACATTTCTTCTTGCGTTAGTTCAGCCTTCCGGTATAGCATTTCCGGTCTGCGCGATGCGAACCGTGCGCGAAAAAAGCGGATGAAACACATATATCGTAAAGAGAAAAAGAGACAAGATATATCTTCGTTAATCTGTGAGTTTTTTTTTGCTTCTGTGTGCTGTTAAATCGATCAATAAATTGCTCCACAGAGAGAAAGAGAGAGAGAGAAAGAGAGAAGAGAGAGAGAGAGAGAGAGAGAGAGAGAGAAGAGAGAGAGAAGAAGAAGAAGAAGAAGAAGAAGAAGT